AAAACAGGATTTACGATTAACATATGTATGTATTTTGGCCTAAATGCGTGCATATTTGAACATGACGTCGGCATCACACTAAAAAACAAAATTTTTAATTCAAATTAAAAAATTCAAATAATTTCAAAATAATTGGTAGAGATGATCGATAGTCCTACTAAACTATCGATATTTTTGATAGTATAAGAAAAAACTATCAATGAGTATTGATAGTCTAAAAAAATTGAAACTATCGATACTATCGATAGTGCCGTCGATAGTTTGACAACTCTACGACGTAGGAAAGTATTATCTGCAGAATAAAAAAAAAACTCAGGTGCTCATCTCTGCTCCTTATAATTTTTTTTTTTTAACACGCTTATACAAATTAATTTCACCTGTATGTAAAAATATCCAGCTTTTTAATTTGATTTGACAGAAAGATTTTGAGTGTGCAATTTTGTAGCCTATTTAACTTAAGTATAATAAAGTTACGCTTAAAGTAGCTGGGACTTACGGTTAATTTTTGATTTTTTTTTTGTTGAAGCTGTTGCTCATTTTCTTCATATAATGGAAGAAAATGACTGGCACCATCAAAAAAAAAAAAAAAATTCAAAATTCAACGGTAAGTCCTAACTGCTTCTAACTTGGACTTTGTTCCACTAAAATTGAATGGGCTATAAAACTGCGTACTCAAAATCTTTCCAAGAAATCTAATTAAAAGGCTCGAAATTTACTAGACGCCATACTGAATCCGCAATTTTGAATTTTGCAATTCTGACAGCGCATTAGTAATTAGTGACCCCGAAAACCCCCTAGTACGAAATAATTATTTCAAAGCTTCGAATTTTGGGTTGCACTTTTGGATTTCGGCCGCACTGTGCGACGTGCTAAATTAGAAAACCTCTCTAACGGTCTTAAAAAAACTGGAAAAAAACGGTCGAATTTCGACAGTAACTGACACTGCTTTTATTATTATTTTTTTATTAATTTGCTTTTATAATTAATGTGCTATTAAAGCAGTTGATTTTCCGACCGGGTATCATACATACATACATATGTACCACAAATGCATTTTTATATGCGAAGGCAGATTTTTCCAAACATTTCGTACCTTCATCAATTTCTTTTCGGTTTTTTCTCGAAAAACATTTCTTCGGAATCAAAACAAAGCATATATCACCGCCATTTTTAATTTATGTGACGGAGATAACGAAAATTAAAGGGCACAACAACAAGAAACTAAGATACACCGAAAATCGCTACAAAGATGAAAAGATTTACAATTCAATTGAAAAAGATTTAGAGACAATTTCCAAAGATATATTTTTTGTTTAAGCAACGATAAATAAACAAATTATATTCAGACACCTATGTATGTATGTATGTAGATTTTCGTTGCGGTTGAGTGTGCATTAACTCGAATAAATGAGCGTCAAAGCCCACGTCCCAAACACACATATAGTATATACGCATCTACGCGCGCATAAATATCCACAAACTTTTTTTTAGAAGATGGAACTTTTGCATTTACTTGTAGATTTGTAGTAGGTGCGCGCGGATAACAGATTGATTTTTGGTAGGTGGGTGCTGGCGGGCAACTCTTGTGAGGTGGCAGCGCCAAGTCGCTATGCATCATGTTGACGGATGTTGAAGAAACGGAAATGCTGGCATTCAGTTGCCATCGTTGGCTCCATTAAAAATGTCACATTACCATTTTTTTGTTTTCTTAATTTATTCAATGTGAAAATTATTACACAAACAATCTCATGAATGCAAAGCAGAGAAAGGAGGGAAGTTTAACATACATATGCACATATGTATGTGCATAGAAGCAGAGTAAGCGTTTGGGTCATACGAAGGCGGTATAACGCGTCAGAGATTCCACAGGTGATCGTAGAAGAGGGAAAAATGTATTTTTTGTGCTTAAGTTATTGCAGAAGAAATTGTTATGATGCCTGAATAAATGGCGTTGCCGCGTTTTTTGTCAAAACAAATTTAGGCGGCACATCGTTCAGGAAGCGCTATTTATGAGATCGTTTTTAGTTGTCTCATTATTCTTTTTCGTTATACTAAAATTAGTCTTACAATTTTTTTTAATTTAATTTTCAATGTTTGCTAATGCCATCATTATCACAGACTGGTATATGGGCAATTCTCAATTAGTTCGAACTTTCGCATGACTCGCCAGTAAAAAATGTAAAAAATAGACCACCGTACATATTTTCTAGCCAAATATGCATATAATTCAGAAATAAAATTGGGAAATTTTCATAAATAAATGTGTGGCTCTCCTATGTTTTTTGTGTTTTTTTTTACGTTGCAAAATTGGTCACGTTTGAGTTTATAATTAACTGGTAGTATTTGGAGAGGATAATCGAGTGCACCACTTTTGACGTAGAATACGTCTTACGTTTCGATACGGAGGCTATGCTCAAATATTATTATTATATTATTATTAATATTTATTTTTGTAAGTAACCAATTCGGTTTCTGTCGTAGAAACAACGGCAAATATTGGCTTATTTTGAGGTAAATTTTGAGCCTTTAAAGTGCTCTAGCCACTTACGATTTAACTTTCGTTTTCGGGACATAGGTTCTTTGGAGCAAGAGATATATTATCGTGTGCAAATTTTATATAAGTTCAACAAATATTTCGCATTTTGATGCGAAAAAATTTGCAATTTTGTTTTCAAAATGCACGAAAACCGCTCGAATGATATTGTTTTTATTTTCTTTAATCAAAAATTCAAAATTTTTCCTTTCATTTGGTATATGGGAAGTATTGGTTGATATCTTCTAAGTATGTTTATTTGATTCAAGTATATGGGCATAAATAATTTTCCATACAAGAGCACTTAGTCATCATTTTGCAAACACATGCATGCGTTGAAAGTGAGAGATGGAGACAAAAGGTTTGTGTGTGTAGGTATTTGAAAAACAGATTGCACAATATTTGAAAAAGGCAAAGGTGAAGGGGAATATGTAGATGAAGAATATGATAAACATAAAAGTAAAAACAAAGATAAATATAAAAAAAAAATATGAGGATGAGGATACCGAAGCAGGCGGGTCGTTTTGAAAAAAAATTTTCTTGCGTTTAAAAATATAATTTTTCATAGAATTTTCTTGTGTGCGAGGACTTTTTATTGGAAGAAGCAAGGACCTATTGTGGCGATTTTATCTGATGTCTTATTAAGAACAAGCTGCTTCTTACATTTGACTTTCTCATTGTGTGCAAGGATATTGCATTTGGAGAAGCAAGGATCTTTTGAGGCGATTTTATTCAAGACTGCTTAAGAAGAAGTCAGGGCCTTTTGAAGCGGTTTTATATTATAAAGACAAGCTGCTCTTGCATTTCCTTTTCATTTACATTTGGAGAGGCAAGAATCTTTCTGAGGCGATTTTATTCAAGACGTTTAATTTGAAGAAGCTGGGACTTTTTGAGTGTTGGGAGAGGTTAAAGGATCAAGGTTTGTGGAAAAGGAGGATTGCGGTGGTGATAGGTGTTTTTTGTCTTGCTTAAATCCTTTAATTTAATTTACATTATTTAATCTTTCTGGAGTGTTAATCGTTGGAATTTCAGGTGAGTTTCTGAAAACTTTCATTGTTTTATTTTATGACTGGGTTGTGAGAAATATTCCGTTAGATTTTTCAGATGAAGAAATTATTAATAATATTATCTCGGATGTTAAGGTTACTTCAGTTTCTCGAATTATGAGACGGGATTTAGTTGATAAAAATAAGTTGAATCCTACTTTTCTGTTAAGTTATTTTTTGAGGGAAATGAGCTTCCGGAGAAGATTGATATTTTTTTTTGTTAAATTTAGGGTTTCTCATTTCATTCCTAAAATTAGACAGTGTTATAATTGTGGACGTTTAGGACACACTAAATTGGGATGTAAGTCTAAGAATAGATGACCACAACGAGGTAAAGATGAAGGTTGTGGTAGTGAATGTAAAGAGAAGAATATATGTATTTTATGTGGTGGAGTTGATCATTGTGCTTTGAATAGTAGATCGTGTCCTTAATGGAAGGAAGAAAAAAAAGTAGTGGAAATCATGACGATTAAAAAAATGTCTAAATTCGAAGCGTTGGATTCATATAAGAAAACTTTTCTTGGTAATAATCGTTTTGATATTTTGAGTGATAATGAGTAGAGTTTTCCGCCTTTGCATAATTCTAAATTGAATCGTATTAATAATGATCATGAAGTTAATAGGAGAATTATTACAAGAAAATTTAATAATGTAACAAAGGGAGTTAAAAGGGCTAATTATGTAATGAAGGAAAAGATAAAGGATAAGGATGTAGTTCAGCCATGTTATGAGAAGTCGAATTGGTCGAAAGTTAGTGAGATTGAGCGATTGTTTAAAATGCTAATTTCGAAGTTTGGTATTAATCAGGATGACCCTATTGTGAGACTTCCCGATAGTTTGTTTGGTAGTGATATGAGTGATCGTATAGCTAGCAAATTAGGAATACATAATGATGAGTACAATAAAGGTGTTACAATTGAATGTTCAGAGCCTAAAGGCGAATAAATACCATTTTGTTTTGTTTTAACCAGAGGTTTGGCATTGAAATTTTATGTGTACAGGAAATTTTTTCGCATGATTTAACAAATCATAAATTAGTTGGCTTTAATTTGACTAAAAAATTGAGAGATGATGGTTATGGGTTTAAAACGGGTATTAAGTTTTCAAAGATTAAATACAAATCTAGTCATGTTATTATTAAAGCTAGGACTTCAAATCTCAGGATTAATGTCACTATTTGCTCTGTTCATTTTCCACCGAATATTACCTCAAGGGGTTTTGAAACAGAGATGACTCGGCTTATGCTATTTTTAAGTAATTGTAATTATATTGTATTGCTTGGTGATTTTAATGCAAGGGCTTCTTTTTGGGGGGATTCTATGAATACTTCTAAAGGTAATATTCTTGCTAATATTGTAGAGAATTCGGGTTTTAGATGTCTCAATGATGGTTCAACTACATTTCATTGCTCTCTAAACAATATGGGTTCTGTTTTGGATTTGGCTTTTACTAATATGAGTGTGAGTATAGGTTTTCAATGTTCTTTGGCTTATGTTGGAGGTAGTAATCATCGTCCGATTGTGTTGGATTTGAGTCGGAATAAGCTTAGAAGGAATTTGGAGTTGGTAAAGTTTGAAAATATTGTGCAGTTTGGGGTTAATATGAAAAGGGTTAAAGATGATGCTATGGTTGATCTTAATGCGGTTGGTTTTACTCCTAAGACGTGGTGGGACAAAGATTTGGAGAGACTTTATAGATTACTTGTAGCCAAAAGAAGGGAGGCGAATCTTACAGGTAATGTTGTAGATTAAGAGGCTGTGGTTGAGGCTACTCGGATTTGGAAGAGTGCTGTTAAAGATGTTAAGAAAGTTAGTTATTTGGGTAAAATAGAGAAATTGAATTGTAACCCTAATTCGGCAGATGTTTGGCGATTTATTAGTAATGTTAATAATAGTAATAATGATAATCTTGGATGTTGGTCTTCAGAAGACAATGAGAAGTATTTAAAATTTTTACAGAAACAGGTTACGGGAATAATTTTATGTAAGACATTAGTAATTTGTCTTTTAACTCTTTTAACTTTTAACTTTGCCTTTTAAGAAAGTTTTTATTTGTATGTTGGATAGGCCTGATGCTTACAACTGTGTTGATTTGAAAATTTTATATGATCAGTTAATTAGTTATAATGTTGATCCTAAAATTGCTGTTTGGGTGTATAATTTTTTTTCTCGTAGAATTTGAACTTTGGGCAATTATTCAGTTGTAATTGATAATGGATTGCATCAGGGTAGTTGTTTGTCGCCTGTTTTATTTAATATTTATACTTCAAAATTGCATGATATTTGTGAAAATAACACTTGTATTTTGTAGAGAGACTAGTTCACGGCTTAATATGGACAAGACAAAATTTATGTATATGTGTGCTAATAGAAGTAGGAGGTTTGACATTATTGTTCGTGGTAATGTAGAACAAGTGGACAAAATTAGTTGGTTAGGTAGAGTGGTGAGTGCTAATGGTACTATCAAAGAGCATTTAGTTAAAATTAAAAAAAAATACAGTTGAGGCAAAGAATCTTATCATGAATCTTTCTACTATTAAAGATGGTTTAGCACCGGAAATTGCATTAAATCTTTTTAAGACGTTTGTGAGATCTAAGGTAGAGTTTGCTCATACCACTTTGGCTAATGTTCCTAAGGGCTATGAGAAACAGTTACAAACTATTGTTAATGATTCACTAAGGATATGTTTGGGTGTTCCGCCTAATACGCCTGCTTATGCAAGATATGCCCTAGCTTGTGAACTACCACCTTTAAGTAGAGCATGATGGTTAACTGCAAAGGAGTTAGTTAGACAATGGTTTTTAAATTTAGATTTGAAAGAGAATTTGAGAAATAATCGGGTTATTAATTCAAGCTATAGTTTTGTGTATAATAAATTTAAACATATTTTTGATAAAATTAATGTTAACGTTAGTTTTCAAAAGCATAATGGAGCTAAATTTGTTCGTTCTGATTTATATAATTCTAAAAAAAATTTTCTTATCAACAGCTTCAATCTATGATTTCTGAAAAAAAGGATAAGTTATTATGTCAGGGTTTTCATTTATTAGCTGGATATGCATCTGTTATGGATAATGAAGTTGGTTGTGCTGTATATGATTTAGTGAGTAATGTTTCTTATCTATATAAGATTAATACTTCTTTTTCTTCGACTTTTGGAGAGTTGGTTGCTCTTAATGAAGCGGTTAGGCTAGCTAAAAGATATAGTTGGAAAAATGTTGCAATTTTTACTAATAATTTTCTTGTTGCTGAATTTCATAATCAGTTAGTTCACTCTTTATTAACAAGTGTTGTTATTGTTTGGGTTCCAAGTCATGTTGGTATTTCTTTTAATGAGAAGGTGGATTTAGCTTCTAAAACGGCAACAAATTTTGGTAGAATATTGGATTTGGATTTTACGCCCCAAGGGGCTTTGTTGAACATTAGTTTTGAGTTATGGGGTAATGTTAAAGAGAAGATTAAGCAAGCTTGTTCTAACTGGAATTCAGATGTTGTTGATGTGATAGCATCTAAAGATAAAAATCCATGGTTTAGGTCAAAATAGAATGACTTAGATGTTTTTAGTACAAAGCTTCTGAATAGACTTATTGTGGGTCATACTTATAGTAAGATGTATTTGCATAAATTTAATCATAATATTTCTACTAATTGTGGTTATTGTGGAGCTAATGAAACCCCTCATCATATATTGTTTGAATGTGTTGGTTTAAATGTTTTCAGAAACAAATTTGAGGTTTTTTAAAAATTGAATAATTTGACAGATAAAAATATGGTGTTTTTTAAAGAAATAGTTTTGTTTTTAAAAGACGCTAAATTGGATAAAAAAATTTAATTAATGCATTTCTTAATAAGAATTTTTTAATTCTTGTATTGTTTTCTTGGGTTGATTATATTATAAACCTAGTTTATTGCGTTTTTGTAAATTTATTCATAAAGTTGTTTGGTATTAATTTTGTAAACCTATCACCCCGTCTTATTGTTGAATTGAGTCACAATCAACCCTTTACAACAACATATGCCTCAATGGATTTTTACATGAGCTCCTCTGTCAAGATTTTTATTGCTGTCTAATGTTTATTAACCTGGCGTTTTAAGGGCTGTCAAAGAGTACCTTGCCATTTTGTGGGATTTGTGGATTGCATTTCATATAGCTTAAAAAAATGATTTTTTGATAGTTTAAAGTCCTTAAAAAAAATACTGGCGTCATAGGTAGAAACATATATGTAATACTTCTATGTTGGTAGTAAGCTAACATCTCAATGTGTAAGCATTCCGAAATCAAAGCGAGACAGTCTAGTACTGTTTTTTTCAATGTATTGTGTACTTGAGTGCCGTTTTTGTAAATGTGTCGTGTACATGCCCTGCAAGGAAACCACGGACTATGAATCAAATTTCTAGTTTCGTACTAGGTCTTTATCGCCAAAAAGGAACTAGTCCGATAAGAGCTAGATCCACACCAGTCCAAAATCGGCGAAAAGTGGTACTTTTAAAAACTAATTTTTTAAGTTTTTTTCACTCGAAATCTATATCTAAGTGACGAATTTAGAACTGCTTCGGAACTATAGAAAAAGAGATGCAGAACGAACTAGATCTTATTTGTCGAATTTAGAACTAGTTCGGAACTATCGAAAAAGGGATGCAGCAGGGGGCTTGTTTACTTTACATAGATATGTGTTCGGCGGCTTTTTCGTTCAAAGTCGTTCTATTCTGTGCTTCGCAGATGCTTTTTCATAGCTTGGTAATACAAAACTAAAATTTGTGGAAGTGTGGTAGTCTGGAATCTAAGAAATAACAGCGAGCACCTCTGCAAACTCAGCTACAGCTAAAGGTATGTAAACATACATTTCTTACAATCATTCAAATAAATTTAATTTCAAATTGAAAACATATTTCATCCAAAACAATTTAAAATCGCACACACGGAAGAACCAAAAAGATTGAAAAATCATGATACTTTTTTCTTTCGTCTGTCGATTTTAGAACTGGTTCGGAACTATAGAATTTCGAACTAGTTCAGAACTTACGAAAAAGGGATGCAGGGATGACACTTCCTAGGACATCGCCATGTTAAATTCGCCAGTTGTTTGCATGCAAAAGAGATTTATCGCGAACCAGTACTGGGTCTAAAAGTACTAGAAGCACACTAGTTCAGAACTAGAGATTTTCCCCACAGGGTGTTTATTTATAAACGTATGTGTTCCTTTTCTTTCGTAAGTGTTTATTGATATATCTGTACTGTAGTGTTTTCGGACGGTACTAGCTCTTACTGCCAATATAGGAGTATTACATATATGGGTAGAAACAAAAAACGTAGATTCCCTAGTTTAGCGATTATATTGATTGTTTCGTGGGTTTTGAAATTCTTGGTTTTTTGTCGCACGATACTCAGACAAAACCTTAGCATAAGTGTAAGCGCCAAACAGCACCAGCTATGACAACAAAACTATCTGTCACAGTACCACCAAAAGCAACAACAGCATCCCGCTGGACACGTGGCCGGCAATTATCTTTCTACGCACCAAGAGACAGAGATCTGATAGCAGACAATACTCCGCGAGCGGGCACCGTTACACAAGTCGGAACCGCTCCAATAGCTGGATCAGTTCAAGAAACAGGCACCGCTTCAGTATCACGCGCAGCGGAGGGCCACTGGGCAGGCCCCGTAGGACACCCAGTCGAAGGTCATCAACCTCGCATGAACCAGGGTGGTAGAAGCAGTTGAAGAAAAAGAGACGCACGTACGGGCCTTAGTTCCTGCAGCTGCAGGCGGATTGTCCTACTAAAGCTTCCTCGCTTCTATCATGATTAAAGTAGATACATATTTATCTACACGCGTTAGTTGCCTAATTTTATTTGTTGGTGATGGTTAATTCTTTGTTGCGTTATCCGCAACCTGATCTCAATTTTATATACATATGTACATGCATACATATGTAAGTATGTATTAAATCGTCTTTTCACCTCTATTAATGCCCAGCTCAATGCCTTCGCCGCAATTTTCCACCATTTTAAAATTTGTTCATTCATTAAAATCTCTTAGGTGCTTTGATTTTCCACTCAAAACTATGCAAATAATTAGCGGCATAGGAACATCTTCATACTAGTGGAGCTGCATATATACGCGCATATGGATATATGTAGTATACGCAAAAATGAAGTAGGCGCATATGTAAAATTGTATACACACATTCATATAACTTAGAGTATTTTGAAACGAAGGGGCGTGGCTTAGCTGCATTGGCTCGAATTTTGCCCAGTGTCACATTAGAGAACATCTAATAACGAGACGGTTTATAAATAGAAACCACTCGGGGAATCTTCAGTTTTTAAACATCTTGAGTACAGTACTCAAATAAGGACAACAACACATGTGTACAATGACATATGAAACATACATACAAAACCACAATGTCGATCGCACGCATGCAGATCTCAAATTCACTCAAGAAAATGAGAAATTAAATTTTTGAAATTTTGTCAACTAAAAGTGTCGCGGATGTCGTTGTTGTCGGAACATAAGTTTCGGAAGAATTAATTTAAAGATTGCCGCGCGTGAAAGTGGAAAACGCGCGCAGTGACACTGAACCGGAGGGACGGTTTTCGCCATTTTAACTGTTTGTTAACATAATTTCATTGATATTTATGAAAGTGCAGTGCAAGTAATTCTAAGTAAATACGAAGCTTTCAAGCAACATTTAAAAATGTTAAGTTATACAAAAAAAAAATATATATATGCTCACTAAATAAAAAAAGAGATGTTAAATTAGTCACATACTCACGTTTCATGTTACACCAAAATACAATTCAAGTGAAGTGTTCTAGCTTTGTAAAGTCAGCACAATTAGGCACCCCGCCACAATCAATGGTCATGGAACGAGTCAGCATCAAACAGGAATTCAGCAGCTTTGCACAACATTCAACCTTTCCACATACGACCTTGCACCACAGTCATCAGCAAACATCATTTACACATCAACAACGCCCACCCACGCGGCACCTCCATCATCACACCCACCACCACCAACAACAATCACAACAATATCAGCAACAACAAAATTCGCATCAGCACCAGTTGCATACACTCTTCAGTCGGTATGGCGCTGCCGTCGGCATTGGTGTTGGACTTAACTTTGGCATGGAAGCCGTCGATCGCGTTGCTGCAAGTGCTTTTCTTGCCGATAACAACAACGCCTGCAAATATTCCAATTCACGTGACAGCGATAAGCTCAACTTAACACCCTCACCAATCTTCACGGATTACGACGAGAATAGCTTGAGTTCAGATGAGCATGTGCTGGCGCCATTGGTTTGCTCCTCGGCGCAGACGTCGCGTCCATGTCTAACGTGGGCCTGTAAGGCTTGCAAGAAGAAAAATGTTTCAGTGGATCGCAGAAAGGCAGCGACATTGCGAGAGCGACGGCGTTTGAGGAAGGTGAGTTGGATTATAGGGGGAATGGCAACCACAATTGAACTACTGTGGACAACGAAGAAGGTTCCCAAACTGAAATGAACTTCCACTCTCAATTATTAGTTTTTTACTCGTTTTATAAAGCTTAGTAGTCCGATTAATTGAATACCGTTGAACACTGTGACCAACAATGCATTCAAAAAATGAATTTCACAAAACTGAATAAGAGACGAATAATTTGTGTATTTTTTTGTTCCAAAGATGCCCCTATTCCATTCGTATGTAGACTCGCCCGCTATTTCCGAAAATCGAGCTAATTTTTTCTATGGATAAGCTTTCGAGATATTTCCAATTTACCGTTATTCAGTTAAAAAAAGTGGTTCCACTTAATCATGGATATCTATACAAAGCAATTGAATAACCTAAATGCAGGATATGACAAGTGAAAGCTGCCAAAATTTTCCATAAACCTTATATATATCACATTTCGATAGGCCTGAGTTTCTGAGAAATTAATTAATCATTCAAAATTTTGTGTTTTTTTGTTTTGGCGAAAAACTTAAATAAATTCGAACTCGTAACAGGGGAAAACCGAGTTTTTCGTAAGTTTTCATATTTCATATGAAAGCCTATAGACTAAGATCCTACAAAGGCACGACCTTCATCCATCTGTTTAATGGACGAAATCTATTTTGTATGAAATTTAACGTGTTAATAAATATTTCGCGAGTTGGTTGGCTGGAAAAGTCCTGGACAGGATATTTTTAATTAATTATTCGAAAATTGTTATTATTTTTGTAATTTTTTACTCATTTGTTTAATGAACAATTTATATAACAATCGAAAGTATTAGGCCGATAGATTGTGAAAATGTTGAGTTGTCAATTTTTTTCCTGGCCTACTCATCGGGTGGACAGGCACGAACAGGTAGGTAAAACAAGTAATTTTAACTCATCTGTTCAACGCAGTCTATAGGATTTATGCTTTCGATTGGTATATATGTAATTCGTTCATTAAGCAAATGAGTGCAAAATTAAAAAAAAATAATGTTTTATTGAATATTTAATTAAAAATATCCTGGCCAGGATTTTTGCAGCCAATTCACGCCCCAAATATTTCTTAACACGTTAATTTTTATACAAAGCAGATTTCATCCATTAAACAGATGCATGAAGGTCGTGCCCTTCTCGGATCTCCTACTACTATTCCTGTCAATGAAGAAAATCGATGGATAAATTAAAAAGGAATGAGTGATCAAACCTGCTTATATTTTAGACAAAAAATCCTTTCGCATTTTCATTTTACCACTCATTCCTTTTTTATTAATCGATAGGAACAGGTTTTCATACAAAATAGAAAGTTGACTATTTGCGAATTTTGTTAGCTTTCAATTGCAATTTTTCCTATAAAGGTTGTTCAATTAGTTCGTAAAAGCCCGGTTATGCAAGTCTTCCTGCAGGTTTCACAAAAGCAATTTAAGTGAAATAGGATTTGTTCTGTCAGTTTCCTTAAAAAATGTAAATAAAAACATAATTTTTTACTTAAAGAACTTCCGTGATTCCGGCTGATTTACAAAGAAACTTGGAAAGGAATACTCTGCGTGTCATTCAAAATATTTTTTTATTTTCAGTTTTGCGTCAACATAGTTTTATTGATTAAAAATAAAATATTTCCCTCACACAGGGATGAAATTTTGAAATTCGTGCCCGTATTTTGTTTGCAAGTCAAATATTAGTGCATTGTGCTACTAAGATAGCACGGCCGAGTAACCATAGTCAATTTACGCACAGTAGTCGAAAAAATTATAGCCGCACGAAATTTTGACAAGTTTTTAAATTTTATTTTTGTTGTTACTTAATTTTGGTTAGCTTTTATAGTTCATGCTTTAACAACATCCGTATAAATATAAGTTTAAAGGCGGTGTCACACGATTGGTTTTTTTTTTGCCGAAATTTGGTGCAAATGGTGTCCCAATCGTGTGAATACCCAAATATTTTTCTTTATCCCAATCACGAAAAATAATTTGTTGAAATTTTTCAATAGAAGATTGCTGTGTTGAACCAATCTTTTGACTAAAACAAAAAAATTGTCCCAATGGCTAAAATTGTCCCCATTTTTCTATTTTGTACCAATAGTCCATTATAAATATACATATATAAATGTAAAAATCTGTACAAATGTAGCAATTGAGTGACACTGCCTTACGAATTTATGCAATTAAAAAAAAAAATACAACAAATTATCGTAAGAATTTCGACTTTTTTAATTAGATTCTGAGTATATACTTTTGTAGCCCATTGAATTCTAGTAGAATTAAGTACAAGTTTCAAATGGCTAAAAATTACGATTGCTTTTTTAGAATTTTTAAATAGCTCCAAATTTTTACGAAAGTTTGTTGATTTTTTTTTTTAATATTGCACAAAGTTGGAAACTTAGATTTACACGGGTTTTGTTAAAGAATGAACTATATTTTTGTAAACAAAATAATCAAAATTAAATAAAAACAAAAATAATACATAGAAACTTGGCAAAAAGTGGTTCGGTTATAATTTTTTGACACTGTATTTATTTTTTATATACTTAATTGGGCATGCACATACGTGTATTTATTTGTTTTACATATAGGAAGTACATAACAAAAAAAAAATTGTGTTTTTTTGCCTTTTTTCAAAGCTCATTCTGCCTTTTTCAGGTTTTTAGTGCCTTAAAATCCTAACCCTGGTATTATATGGTAAATCTCACAAGATTTAACATTAAATCTCGTCAGAGGGCTAAATCTTCATTAAATCTCACAGTATATCACATAGTATTAGAAAGCAAAAGAATATAGCTCTTCAAGTTTCTCAGTTTTTTGGGTAACTACATACTTGCGCTACTCATTTGCCAGGTACATATACCATTTTCAAGTAAAGTCAAGTCTAAGGGCCGGTTGTTCAATGTCTGATTAGCACAAATCGGAGGTAGTAGCTCCGGTTAGATACAACGACTTCTTTATCGATCACATGTTAGACGCATGATGTCGAAATCGTCGATAATGATGTTTAACCGGCAAGTAGTGATAACCAGACATTGAACAACCGGCCCTTAATCTTGCACCACCGGGCCTTAAAATATGCGTGATTAAGTGGAACCAATTGGTTTTAGCTGAATAACGGTAAATTGCAAATAGCTCTAAAACTAACTCGATTTTTGGAATCAGCGAATAATTCTACATAGGTATTGGATATTGGCATCCATGCAACATTTTTGCTG